AAATGTATAGAAAAAAAGAGTTAATACTCGTTTTAGTCCATGTAAGTGAACGCTTACTCTCTGTATGTGCTACTTCAAATGCTCCATGAGTCTTTGGTGATATGAGTTATGAAGTTTTAGGAGTGTTAGACACTATAATGAAAATAAAGAGGAGAAAAAATCAGCACAATGTAGAACCGTAAATCATTTTCTATATGATCAAAAATAGAAAATGTGTTGTTTTTCTTTAAGACAATGAAATAATTCTTTTCGTTAAAAATATGAAATGTATTTTGTAACAAACAAAAAAAATCAGAAACTTGTTTTATGGCAAGATTTATTTGTAAGAGAAAACTGATTTCTTTTTTAGTACTCTCATTGTTCCAAATTATATGCTCTATTTATTATTAATATGTTTAAAATTCATTTACGAAGTATTTTCTTTACTTATTTTTGTTACTCATTTGATAAAATAATATAGTAATGTTACATCTTGTTTTGTACCCCTTCGTTCTAATTTAAATTGTCTGTTTTAGTTTACGATATTTAACTAACTTTACTTCAAATATAATTTATTTTAGAATTCGGATGTAATTAAAAAATAAATTTACATATTTAAAAACTACATCAAAAGTTCTACAAAACAAGAGATGACATATCTATATTATTTAACCAAATGAGTAACGAAAATAGAGATAAAAAGTGAATGTAGTTTGACCATGTGAATAGTAAATATGTATCTTAATTTGAGACAGAGAAAGTATATTTTTATGCTATTTTTAAATATATAATTTTTTTTCATGATTCTCGTATAAAAAAATGGAAAATAACTTCTATCAAATATTGTAAAACAAAATGAACACTATTAATTAAGACGAAATGACTAGGAAATACTCCGTGTGTGAGTATCATTGTTGGAAAATGCTAGAGTCACAAATAAATAGTTCACAAACTTCACAAACTCGTGTTTTATTAATTTTAAATTAAAATATCTTTTATTATTTGAGTGTATCTTGTTTCTACGAAAATATTAAAAAGACAAGTTTGTGAATTTTGTGATCAATTTGTTTGTGACTCTAACATTACTCCTTTTGTCATTCAACATGCTTTTAAATCATGCTAACTCCCTACCATTTGGTGTACACCACAATTTTGTATTAATACTTTGATGGTTCATATTAATACAAAACGTCAGTATAAAATATTACATTCGAACTATAATTGTGTACGATTGTAATGGCCAAATAGCTCCAGACTCCAGTGCCTCCCCTGGTTTAAAAATTATATTCAATACCCTCAGGCTTTCGAAACTTATTTATAAAGTTCTCGTGGTTTCAAAACGTCACACCCACACCCCTCCAATCATTTTTCCGGCGAAGAGTGGCATTGTTGCCTATTTTCTAAACTATAGGACGCACATGTGCTCATTTCTTATTTTTCGTTTATTTCTTTGTTTTTTGTTTTATTTTTTAAACTTTTTTTATCTCTTTATTCACCATTCCTAGAAAAGTTTTTAAAATTTATTTAATTTTTTTTATAATATTTTTAAAAATTCAAAGTTTTGTGTTTGAAATTTTAAAAAATTAACATATAATTCATCTATCTCAAATTAAACATTCTAACTTTTTATTTTTCTAAAATAATGTTTTTGGTAAGTTCAAAAAGAAAATAAAAAATAAATAGATAAAAATAAAAATATGGAAAAATGAAATGAAAAAAATTGAAACATCTAAAAAAAATCTTATACAAAAAGAAATTTTCAGAACGCCTAAAATGTTTTTAGAAATGGGATGTTTAACAAGGATATTCATTTTTTATTTTTTGTTTTATTTTATTTCTTATTTTATTTCTAATTTTATGGAATTATGAAAATAAGTTTTTAGTTTTCTATTTTAGAAAACATAAAATAAAAATTATTAATTTAAGATGTACAGGTGTAATATATGTAAAAAAAATTCAAGAAAAAAAGATAATTTTAAGATTTAATTACATTATAAAAAGAAATTTAAAAAAAATTTATTAATAAAAGAAACACAAAAGGGGAAAAAACAAAAAGTAAACAAAAAAAATAAGAAATGAGCACCAATGTCATCTACGATTTGGAAAAGAGACGTCAATGTTTCCTTCTTCGCCGGAAAAATGGCCAGAAAATGATCAGAGGAAGTATGAGTATAACATTTTAAAATTACAAAGACTTAAAAAATACATTTTGAAAACAATGAGATATTAGTGTCTACTTTTCAAACACTGAAGAGTAAATTTGGCTCAATTGTAAATAAATGCTAATGCAAAAGTGTAACGTATAAAAGTGGTATATAAATAATAGAATAAGTCTAAAATGACATCAATGCTACTAGAGTGATTTTCTTACACTAGTTAATTTGGAATACTTAGAGTACCATATTTGAAAAAATGATGATTCCAATAATGCTATCCATTAACCTCTTCTAAACCCCACCCCCTCCAACAGCATTTGTCGCTGGTCATCAACGAGAGAGAGCGCGCGAAAATCTTTGACCCTCCCTCTCCTCTCTCTCCTTTCTGATTTTCCCTCTCTCATTTCTTCTTTCTTTTCTTCTCTTTAGGGCGGGCAGGGGAGATTTCTCAACGCAGACCCGATGAGCTGGTAATTTGGGTCGGGGAATTTCTTCTTTGCTCCGAATCCCAATCCCGGGTCATCATCGGCCCCACCTCCCCCAAGATCCGTTTCTTTCTTCATTTTGATGGGTTTTGGGGGGTCGCTATGGGCTGCGTCAGCTCCAAGCAGGCTCGCTCCGACGTCTTCCCCGCTCGCGATTCCTCCCCTCACCGCAAGCTCGGACTGTCGTCCCGCGAAATCCGGGTCGACCCGCCAGAGACCGACAAATGGGAGGAACCCAAATCTCCTCCCCCTCCTGGGAATTCGACGGCGTTGAGGACGGAGCCTCCTCCCGACAACCTACCTGATTTTGGGATTTGCGCAGGAAGGTTGACGGAATGCGAACAGATTGCCGCCGGTTGGCCGACCTGGCTCACTTCCGTTGCCGGAGAGGCCATCGACGGCTGGCTTCCTCTCAGAGCTGACATGTTCCAGAGATTAGATAAGGTAATTTCTTTATATTTTCTCATTTCAATCAAATTCCCGAGGAAGTCTTTCAAGAATTAGGTTTTAAAAACCTAATTCCAGAGCTTTTAACTTTGCAGATTGGACAAGGTACATATAGCACCGTGTACCGAGCACGAGACCAAGAAAGTGGCAAAATGGTCGCTTTAAAAAAGGTCAGGTTCGACAATTTCCAGGCGGAGAGTGTTAGGTTTATGGCCAGGGAAATCACAATCCTTCGCAGGCTCGATCACCCGAACATCATGAAGCTTGAGGGTATAATAACTTCCAAGCTCTCCTGCAGCATATACCTGGTTTTCGAATACATGGAACATGACCTCGCTGGGTTGCTGTCATGTCCTGAAATCCGATTCACCGAGTCACAGATCAAATGCTTCATGAAGCAGCTAATGTCTGGGCTGGAGCATTGCCATTCAACTGGGGTCATACATAGGGACATCAAAGTCTCCAACATCTTGGTAAACAATGAAGGGGTTCTGAAGATTGCTGACTTTGGGCTTGCAAACTTTGTGAGTGCAAAGAACGTGCAGCCGCTGACCAGTCGCGTGGTGACTCTCTGGTATCGACCCCCTGAACTGCTGCTGGGCTCCACAAATTATGGGGTGACCGTTGATTTATGGAGCGCGGGTTGTGTTTTTGCTGAGCTCTTTTGTGGAAGGCCTTTCCTTAAAGGGAGAACCGAGGTCAATGATCATATTTTTCTCCAAATGTTTTTCTATATTATGTTTTTTTTCTTACCCCAGACCCTACTTTTCTGAGATTTTAATGGGTTTGTTGTTTTCATGAACTCATCTCTATTTACTGCTGCGCAGGTGGAACAACTGCACAAAATCTTTAAGCTTTGTGGGTCTCCGCCAGAGGATTACTGGAAAAGATCTAAACTTCCACTTGCAACTGTGTTCAAACCCCAATATCCTTATGAGAGTACACTCCGAGAACGGTGCAGAGAATTCCCAGAAGCCGCCGTGGACCTCATAGAAACACTTCTTTCAATTGAGCCTTATAAGCGTGGGACCGCTTCATCCACACTTGCTTCTGAGGCAAGTTTCTTTTTTTGGTTTTTTTTTTTGTTTTTTTGCATCAACAAGCCATTCATTGTGCTGTTTTGAGTTAATACCAGGTTTAGGGGACTAAATGGGATATCATTAACTTCTTTTTATTATAAAGTGATCATCTCTATAATCTATATTTGTCTCCTCTTGCAGTATTTCAATTCTGCGCCATATGCTTGTGATCCATGGAGCTTGCAAAAGTACCCACCAAACAAAGAGATTGATGCAAAAGTTCGGGA